TCTCGGTTTCTTATCGTGAGGAAGATGTGGTAAAATAGACGACAGTTGTATTAGTCAGAACTTTCGAAATCGCGCAGATTTTCATCGTCAAACACTGTAAGGGAAGGGAGGGCGCGTTGCTTGCTCGTGGCTGGGCTGGCATCACACTGCCTAACTCACAGCGCGATGACAGGGGCTTTATCAATGTGTCCGTTTATAGAGTCGGTTTCAGAGACCCAGGCTTCCAACAACTCTCGTCCAGTCTTGCTGCTAATCATTCCCATTATCTGCGTGTCCGCTAAACCGAATTCGTGACCAAGATGTGCGTACCGACCTGGAAAAATGGGCTCCCTCTCCGAAAGGCTGGTTATACGGGCGTATCTGTAAGCCTAGTTCTCATACTGTTTGGCCTGTATACTGACGGGGATAGTTGTGGCAATGGTGTTGATTAGCCACCTGCGTCCAGCCAGACCTTTATATGACTGATTGGTTTGCAGGGCAACTGCTCAATTGTTGTTGTACTTTCATCGTCCCTGAAGATGGTTGCCTGTTAGGTTCCACAGGATCAGAATAATACCACTGCCCCCCCCCTCCCCCGGTGATCGTATGTTCATCTTCTTATCAGTGTTGAAGATGACAAACTCCCCTGGAAGAGGCTGGCTTGCCGACCATAACAATCGGGACCTGGTTTGAAACTTCTTCCATCTCAACAGACTCGCAGGTTCTGTGACCCTTTGCTCTTTCTGGACAATAAAACTTTGTCATCAGGATAGGAGCGGATGTTTTGCTCACTTCAAATCACTAAACTTTGAGGATGGGGAGGCGGCAGGATTCACTAGGACGTGCTTATTGAAGATATACCGGCGCAATCATCAGTTTCCGTTGTCCACCAACACTGACTGGTAGGTCGGGAAATTAACCCTGATTACCGGGCGCTTCACAGACAGCCAGCGCAGGCTATGGGTTAGCCACTGCCTTCCGTATACTCGATGCACCAGCGTCAATAAGAAACGGAGATTTCGCAGCAGCTTAAGTTCTAGGCAGACTCTTGCCACCATAACCTTCAGTTCCGATCCCGCATGGAAAGAGGTGAAGTTAGACGCCAGTGGATTGGGTATTGTATTCTGCACATGATGATTGGAGAACAGGTTGGACAAAGTTGGCGGCCGAACGAGGGCGCATGTCCGGCTTCGCGGCAGTAGGCTCGCGGATGCCAGTGTAACATTTGTCACAGCACTTTGAACGAGAGCACGCCTGAGTTGACCTTGAAGCTGGTTGGTCGGTATGAATGGCTGTGATTGGCCAAGAACCAGAAAGCCAGTAGTACGCGCGAGAGGTGCGGTGCTGCAGCAGGCGTCCGGTTTGGAGGTCTCTTAGCTGAACTGAGCCAGGCCAAACGTCTGCACTTGGTTAGTGACCTCGGAAATTATACTTCCGACAGTATTTTCATCATATTACTTTCCTTTGGCTAGAGTGCCTTAGTTGAAGTTTGATTGTCTACTCCGAAAAGGTCATATTTGGAAGCATGCCTATCTTATCCGCACGCCGGAAGGCCTAGTACGGCAATTCGCCTCCGGCATTTAATCATAGGGACAGATGGCTATAGATTCTTGGTTTAATACGTTGCAGAGATTGGCAGGAAACCCTCAGTTTGGAAATATGCGCGTTAACATGGAACGACAACGTTGAGAGTTGGTTGCGTCGGCACCGTCTTGCAGGCATCAACAGCAGCATTCAATAATGACGTCGGAGTGGTGATGAGGGTCACCGCGTCCACGGAATACAACGCGGTCTGGGGGTGTTGATTTCGGGGTGAATATATTTCGGTCTAACTGAACTGTCTCTAATTACCACGGTGATTTCGCCTTTTTTTTTATCTCAGACAGAGTAGGCTGTCGGTTGTCTTCCAGGATCTCTGCACCATCAACTCTGTAAACTAGCCCAAACACTGACCCGACTGCGTGGAATTTACGCGGGTCACCAGTGACCAGACACATTTTTCGACAAATCGTCAAGATGGTACTCACTAACATACACTGGTGCCTCGTTGTGCGACAGAATGTTAGGGGGAAAGCAAGCCTGCAGGACAGGGGGAATGAGTAGCTCCTCCAATGCGGGAGCACTGCGTTAATTTTCATTAAGATAAGGAGTAATGTTAGGGCTAGGGTTTGAAGTTAAGTTTAGGCCTAGGGTTAGGACGCAAGAATATTTACGCTTCCTGCTATTTTGCGCAAGGCCACCCATACTATCGAGGGCTTCCTATACCGTGTCTTTTCAGCAAGCCCCTAAAGCAACTGCTCTTGTGTTGATGAGCAAAAATCAGGAGACTCCTAGGGAGGACGGATTGATTTCCACCGACCTCCGGGCTATCCGCATGAAGCGACACTGTTCATGCGTAGGAGCCCCTTGTGATTGCCCCTTTCCCTCTTCGTCACACCCCGAATACCAAGCGTCCGTTGGCGCGGGATGCACGGCCTGTCCGCACAGGACAGCAGACCGGCTGAGTCACTTGGCGGGGAGATACCGCGTTGTTTGCAGCGCATGACTCATACGCGAGCTCGGGGGGGAGCACATGCGCACGTACCCACGTCCATATTTGATGTGCTGGCATCTATGGCGTGTCGCAGTAATGTCTTCCGGCCGACATCTACCCCACAAAGTGAACGGTGCCCAGTAGATGTGCGGGGGCACCTAGCTGCTGTTCGTTCAGGTTGCAGCTTTTTTCTTATCATGCTGGGCATATCCACAGAGGCATCCGAAGAGGCGGCTACAAACGGAGACGGTCCAGTTATGAAGTTGGTTCTTACCCAGCCGTCATAGATCCCCGAGATTTACCTGCACGGTGAAAGAAAGATAACCACTAAACGAATTCCACACTGCGGAATCATGGAATTCTTTTTAGTTTGTTTACTAGCGGCTTTACTGAAAGACAAAATGAGGTATACATCAGCCGATTTACTGGACTGGATGCCGCGTATAAAATCTTAAAGGAGAAATGGAAGAGATGGCAGCTAATCCAAACGGGATGACAACACACTTCGACTGCTTATTGCCACAAACGCGAGGAAAGTATTGATTTTCAGGCACATTTAAAAATGAACAGTTTTGTACATTTACTCTACGTCTGCCGACGACCTGGGGAATCGGGCGTCAAAGATTTGCGGAATAAAGTTTCTAATCTTTCCCAAAGAACTTATTTGACTAAAAGTAATGGTTTCAGATAGCATTGTATCGTCGTCAGGTATCGCAAAAGCCATATCCTTTCCTCCTCGGAATGGGCAGCAAGTTAAAAGTTGTGGTTCGCAAATTCTGCCGTGACCGGCTTTCGTGTAGTCTTACGTGTGCTAGTCGACAACGAGAAGTTTTCCTAATTAAGAGTTTTAAATAAAGAATTACTAGGAAACTCTGTACCGCCACAGGGAGCGCACAAGCGACTGGAAGGTCGGCGGCAGCAACATTTCCTAAAAACCACTAACTAGCCTTGATTGTTCTGTCAGCGTAAAGTTTCTAGCGTGTACTTGAAAAATATCCGACTGTGGCCAGTCGGCGAAAGGCGAAATATCGATCGACGCCACGACGTTCTCGAGGCAAAGGGCTGAGTCATACGCGTCGTAAGCAGCGAGCTGGCAAGGGAGGGGGGTGGGTTCGTTAGCTGTCGCCACGCCAAGTAAACTGACATAATTTTCAACTTAACTTATTTGCTGTTACATCCCCTACAAACAATGCTATAAATGGTTTCAAAGATTATCGTAAGTCAGAATTGCAATGGCAGAATGTTATTACCGACAAAGACGAGGGAGACTGGAATGGCCATTTCTGGCTTATTAGCCGTCGTCAGCCAGTCATACTCAACCCCGAAGTGTGGAACACCAAGGGTTCGATCCCGCGACCTGCTAGTTAGAAGTCCAACCCCTCTAACCATTATGCCACGGGCTCGTTGTACTGTCGGTTTCGATCGGGAATATACAATGGTAGAGGGGGGACGCTCACTGATAGTTCTTACGGAACTCACTCGTTCCGCCCTGCCTTACGGGCTCTCTCTCGAGCCCAATCAGCAGCCGCACAGCGGCGCATGATATAAGCCAGAAATGGCCATTCCAGTCTCCCTTGTCTTTGTCGATAATAACATTCTACCTATATCATGCACCGCTGTGCGGCTGCTGGTTGGGCTCGAGAGAGAGAGCCCGTAAGGCAGGACGGAATGAGTGAGATCCGAAGGAACGATCGGTGAGCGCTCCCCTCTACTAGAATTTCAATGCCCTGCGGAATTGACAATAAAATTATTGTATTTTATTTTTTTTTGTTTCATGTGGGAGTCGCCCCGCCTTCCAAGCGAGCCACTGTGTGCTGTAAGGGACCTTATTTTCTCAACATTCTCCTGTCGTTAGTGCAACAATTTTTCCGTGAATCTAACCATTTTTCTACTTTAACCGCCTGTTTTTTCTCGATGGCCTGCCTAACAATCCTGTTCAATTATTTCGCCGTTGGGATCTATCCATGCTGTGCTAAACTAGTCCGTATATACCACCCTTGGTCGCCGGATGATAAGTGTATTTAGCACCAAACGCTGAGACAGTACCGTGTCGGAAAAGAGACTGTGGTGAGGATGAGTAGTTAGGTCTCCTAAGTCTAAATCTTCAATTAATAAGCGTTAGCGACAATGACAAGGGATACCAGAATTGCATGGGAGCGAATAACTGGCACATTTTACGGAACGTTTTCGCAGACCATGGAGACGACACAACAACTGGAATGAAACCGGGTGCAAGCCAGAACTGGCCATTCTATCGTTCCTGTCTTTGTTGTCGACGCATCAGTTAATCATCTATCGGTGTTCTTCAAACTTTGAGACATGGAAGCAAACGTATTCAATCAACAGGATTCCGTCCCCTGCCATCAGCCGAGCTCATCAACAATATGACGCGCTCTTGGGGAAGGCAACTCACATAACGAACTGTCAGAAGTTCCTGACCTTCACTAATTAAACTTTCACAAGTCACGCCTTTACCTCGTGTGATCCGTCACAAAAACAGGAAGAGTTTGCACTGAGCTGACACCGCATCAGCCAGCACAATGCGTTTGTCGGAGAGCACGGCGAATGGAAGCTCCTGCTGCTGCTGCTGCTGCTGCTGCTGCTGCTGCTGCTGCTGCTGCTGCTGCTGCTGCTGCTGCTGCTGCTGCTGCTGCTGCTGCTGCTGCTGCTGCTGCTGCTGCTGCTGCTGCTGCTGCTGCTGCTGCTGCTGCTGCTGCTGCTGCTGCTGCTGCTAGTATGGATTCGACATTCACAGTGCGGTGGGTCGTACCTGTATCCCCTGGTTTACGGGACTGTCACTCATTCGCGCGCACGGTAAACTGGATGATTAGGATTAGGATGATGATGACGGTGATAGCTGTGCGTGGGTGGAGACGGGGTGCAGTGGTGTCAGTGAGCCAATAAGAAGGCAGTCCTGCATGGGGTGACGCCAACTTTTCGCGGCTAGGGGAGGCAGGGGAGAGAAAGTTGAGATATTCTGCTTACCGCCTCCGCTATCTTCGAATCGATTGTGCTGTGCGGGGTGCACGAGAGGTCGAGCCCTCGTGTTGATAAGGTGATGTGAAATACTTCGAAGGACGAAAAATCAATAAATCATAACGGTGATAATATACTAACCTCACACTGCGTCGGTCTCGGTTGAAATGGTAAGCAGACCATGCCATATCTCGGTGATAGTTTACAGCCTTCACGTAAATCCACTCAGTACTGGTCAAAATCATGTCTCAAGTAGCACTATGAAAACGTTATCATTCTTGTTCGAATTGTTGTTCCTTACCTTCTATCCAAAACCGCGCATCCCCTGAAACATTCCCGAATTCTCCAAACTAGTGGCGTCATCGGTCTGTTTGAAACGTTCCGCATAGAGGAGTAAGGTCGTGGTAGTTTCTTCGACTATAAATAATCCCGGATCGTCCTCTTCAACACTGCGAAAGATCTCGGTGCAGGATCAACATCTAGTAAATTTCGAGAAAAAGTTGATTCACCTACTGCGGTGTTGGCAAAAAACTATGACGTTTACTATTATATTTTTGAGTACTACTCAATCGAAGGAAAACAGTAGTCATAATCGAATGCTGTCCTACAGGAGGGCCAGTAGTGTTGCCTCTGGAGAGGGTTTTTATGGTTATTTTCAGGTAATGTTGGACGATTCGGCCTATAGTACCTTCGGCATGCCACGGATTGCTATGCGCAGTCTAGTTCTCTGCATTAAAACATCCATTCGACTCTCAGGGCCAGTCCATTAAAGCCTTCCGGAGAGGCATTTATTGGAAGACGTGGCTTCGGCGCATGATGCAACTTAAACTTATATTCAATAACAGGAGTGGACGTATGGAGCCGGATGGACGAGCAGTGATGAAAGACACCGATCGACGGGAGTCAGCATACAGTTATTTACTGCCACGAATGCCAGGGAATCGTGAAAAAAGGCCGCTGAGAGGAAAGCATGTAAATTAATTGTCAAGCAATTAGAATAGGAGTCTGTCACCTGAAAATTTGAAGAGAAGCGCGTGCCACTTCACTATAGGCAGGAAAGAGTTGGCCATAGGAGCTCAAGCGACGGGCATACGTAAATAGCGGATGTATTCTCGGCTAGATCGCAGTTGGTAGTCAGGAATGGGGAACCGGACGGCGGCCTTAACCCTATTCCTACCCCAACCCTAACCCTAACCTCAACCAATATTTCAATATTTTCAATAGTACGCCTAATGCACTTCGTCATACTGGGTGTTTACTACACAGGAGGTACCAACATCAGTTATTAAACAATTAGGGTTGGAATTTCAGGCGTTCCTTGGGTCATTATCAGTAATGTGAAGACCGTGAGGACTTGTGATAACGCATGGAACAAAACTAATCCTGCTGGTAGCGGTCTCCCCAAGCGTCCGACAGTCCCACTGTCGTGACCGACAATGTCCACTGTGTCCTACACAACCAAGTGGGAGCCGGAATGGCGACTTGAGCGCGAATTAGTTCCTAGGGATAGTAGACTTTGACAGCGTCTACCGCACCCTCTCCTCCCCCCACCACCTAGCTGTGCCCGGTGTCACGACCAAGTGAAGAAGACCGGATGGGGGAGGGGCCACAAGTGGCTGGCACGGCATAAGTACGCACCTAGGAATACCACTGCGTCCCTGGTCAATAACAAACACTTGATCAGGATTTTAAACAACAATAAATATGCAGCGGCGTCTCGGATCCCAGTTTGCGCGGCGTGAGTCCGCAACTGGTCCTACCACCATGCTTCAAATGTTGGAATTTTTTATGGACGGGCATTCCCGATAATGCCTGCCAGAATCCGATGTCGTTCCCATGTTTTTTTTCTGCGCATCTACCGCGTGGCGCGTTTTAGGGGAACAACAAAACAAAGTAGCCCATAACCTTGCACTGAAAGCTGACAGCTTGATGAGGCCTCGGGAGTCGCAGTCATTCGGCCAAAACTGTGGCCAGTAACAATCGCTCTCCCTGTCTTTAGGCTCCCTGACTCCTGAGTTGGAAACTCGATCTTGTCGCTGGCATCAGTTCCTGAAACCTGATGACCCCCGAAGAACTCCAGTCGCCAAATCCATTTGATCACGACGGTAAATTTTTCACTGGTGTGCAAGTAATTTAAACATTAACTTCAGCCGGTCATCTATCATGACGGACCAGCTGTGATAGGGTTCGCGAGCCATTATCGGTTTCGACATTGATTCGTCAATCGACACCGGCGACTAACTTGCAGCTACTAGACTCAAGGATTGAGTGTGGGAAGCCAAAGTGACGCCCTTAGAGCCAAAGTTACCGGATCATCAACCAACGGAGGACGCCAGTTAGCCAGGGCAGAGTGCCAGGGATGGACTTGTGGGGACGTAGGTCATTAGCAGGGGGCGGAAGATCGATAGATCACCTGATTGGCGTCTGTGGTTGGCTGGAAGTGCCAAAAGACAATTCGTCCCAAGTACTGATTTCGTAAGTCATCGTGCCGCGGTTGCCAGCTGCAAGCAGAAGGCTGAGATAGAGCAGGGTTATGACCATGCCACTTTTAGTACCAAGACTGGACGTTACGTTTCGTTCAGCAGATTTACAGCGACATCGGGCAACGGCCAGGCCAGAGAGCAACTGTTTGTCCTGCCATTCTTTTCTCCGTGATCGTCCGTCCCTACAAGAACAGTAACTTGTGTCTGCCGGCCGTCGGTGGTTCTCCCAGTGTTATTTACGGTATTTGCTCCTATAGCCTAGATCTCTGCCAGTTGTTTTTGTGGATTTTTGTCATTGATGATGCCTGATGTGCTACTCCTGCTTTTGAATTTCTTGTTGAGCTCGACTTCGTAGTAGACACGATTAAAATACCAGCTACCTGTTAAGGCATTAGGAATGCCTCAACTCCAAATCGACTTGTTATCCTCGTCCAAGGGGGAAATTGCCCTTTTCATGTTTTATTTCAGCAGTACCGAGATTTCCAGTTCCAGTGTTACATGTGCTGAACCCCAATTTATGCTTGTTCGCGTCACATTTATTCCAGTGTCTTCTAGCCGATAAGGTGGAATTTGGAATATGTCACAGCATAGAATCATGCCCGATTGCAGAGTGAGCATCTCCGTCGCACATCGTTGCTGGACCGCTATGTGATACCTCGTTTGTAAGTTTTAGTCAGTAATCGTTTCGGCAGTAAGGCATTCTCAGACGTGGGTTTGGTCAGAGTTATTCACCAGAGTCCTGTGGTGCCGAAAGGTGTCCCGAAGATCGCCTCGACTATGCTTTTTAGTCTTCGCTTTTCACTGTATTCAAGTCTGCGTTGACTGATACAGTTTTCTTGTCGCACTTCATTTTTGACGCTGATATTTCGTCCGCGATTGCCATGTTTTGTGACAGGTGCTGGGCTGCAGCAACATGTCCATGGTACCTGCAAGCTGAGGCCCATTTTTTTCCGTTCACCACGATTAGTTACAGCACTCTCAATCGCAAGTCTCTGATAAGATACTTTGGCGATTAAACTCGAGGGAGCAGTCAGGCGTTGTGCATCTTATCCTGTGCTTGAACTGCCCTTGTAATTACGCAGGTCGGACTGAACGCCAGCTGGGATCACGTATGAACAAACATAAACTGGATGTGCAACGGGGATGACGAATTTACACCAGTGGTCGCATAAACCTTGAAAAAGGGGTCACGAGTTCAAGTTCACGACCGCCAAGATAGTTATCCACGTCGGAGACGAGAACAGACGAGAGCTGATTGAAGACTGGGACTCGGATGAGGACCTAGTCAAACGACTTATCGATCTGGCGCCGATGTACAGAGCCCTGTGCAGTCACTTCCAGAACTGCAGCGCTGGCCGTTGATTGGTTTATTAGCCGGGTAACTTTCGCTTGTTCTGTTGTTGCTTTCTCTCTGACGATGGACTTTTGCAAGGGTTCGAGAGCTCGAAAAATCAGCAAGTGGTTCCGGTGTTCCACCAGCCCCCCCCTCTTACGTACTCATGTTTGACCTAATTTCGAGTGACCGCTGGGCTCTCAGCGACTCTGTTTGCCCCTCTTGTGACAAATATACCCTGTATGAGGCTAGCCAGTTTGACATTTTGCAGCTCGAAATCGATACGCATCACATGGACAGAAAGCGGAATAAGGTTGCAGATACGCTATTCCGATTTTTCTGCACCCTACTCTTACTAGTCCAGGGGATGGATTTCCACAAGACCGCCGAACAGAGGAAAAAACCGAAGTGTGGAACACCCGAGGCTCGAACTCGCGACCTGTTAGTTAGAAGTCTACGCTTCTAACCACTGGGCCACGAGCCCGTTGCCCTGTCGGTTTCGATCGGGAATATACAATGGTAGGGGGCGCTCACCGATCGTTCTTACGAAACTCACTCGTTCCGTTGTGCCTTACGAACTCTCTCTCTCTCTTTCGATCGGTGAGTGCCCCCTACCACTGTATATTCCCGATCGAAAATCGACAGGACAACGGGCTCGTGGCGTGGACTCCTAACCAACATGTCGCGAGTCCGAGCTTCGCGTGTTCCACACTTCGGGGTTGGGTATGACTGGCTGACGACGGCTAATAAACCAGAAATGGCCATTGTAGTCTCCCTTGTCTTTGTCGGTAATAACATACTGCCTATGTCATGCGCCGCTGTGCGGCTGCTGGTTGGGCTCGAGAGAGAGAGCCCGTAAGGCACAACGGAACGAGTGAGTTCCGTAAGAACGATCGGTGAGCGCCCCCTACCAGAGGAAAAAACCGTTTGTGCAAACACTTGACGGGACAACAATGACCATTTGACGTTAACTGAAGTTACCAGCGTCCATATTATTTTCATTGGCTCTGACCGTCCATTTGCGCTGGGACGCACTCACCTCGAGGTGAAACATGCTTTGCAAGATCTTCCTCGCCGTGGTAGTCACGCCGTTCAAAAGATAGTTGCCGAACATTGTGCTGAAAAAGCTTAAAGGGGTCCAGACTTGAACGAAGGCCTTCATCAGCTACTAGAAGCCAAAAGTGCCCAGTCGGCGGCGCAGTAACTCAGAAGACCCGTTTCAGTCAAGCGTACCACGCTCCTGTTAACTTGTTTCCACCGTCTCACTCGGTGGGCAGACGCAGATTTCCTGTCGAAAATCCATGCCGGAGACGTGGTAAACGCATTCGTCAGTTGTTAGGCTGTGATTTTGTTGCCTCAACCAAGGAGACAGTGACGCGTGAGATCACGGCTGTTTCCTACTTTGTAAAAACGATGCTCCGTACGGAACCCACAGACGGGCTATTGAGCTCACTCAACCGCTTGTGCCCAATCCCGGCACCAGATGGCTGACCAGCCCGGACAGCGGATTGGCGTGTGGGCAAGGGGGTGGGAGAGAGAGACTGACACTTCTGAAGCCACTGCCACGCCACTTCCAGCCCATTTCTCGCTATAAAAAGTGCAACGCTCCTTGAAATTACCCCAGTGCACTAGAAGTCGTGGGTTGGAAGAGCGCGGTGGGCGCCCCTCTATCATGACATAGGCAGCTCGGTCCTCGTGGTCAGTGCTGTGTTTATGTGGGATAAGTTGCTCGACTCAATGGCCCCTTCCTATTGTGGCTTTTATCGAACCCTCATGTGAGATCCGAGCGGCCCACCCTTTGTCCAATAAAAACGTGGGGTTCATGTCGCCTGTTGCCCGCGTAGACGGTCTGGTCGGCCGGGTGTTCCACACTCCGGGCCTGGGTATGGCTAGTTGACGACGGCTAATAAGCCATAAATGGCCATTCCAGGCTCCCTTGTCTTTGTCGGTAATAGCATTCTGCCTATATATCATGCGCCGCTGTGCGGCCGCTGGTTTGACTCGAGAGCCCTTAAGGCACAACGGAACGAGTGAGTTCCGTATGAACGATCGGTGAGCGCCCCCTACCATTGTATATTCCCGATCGAAAACCGACAGAGCAACGGGCTCGTGGCCCGGTGGGTAGAGGCGTGGACTTCTAAACCAACAGGTCGCGAGTTCGAGGCTCGGGTGTTCCACACTTCGGGCTTGGGTATGGCCTGCTGACGACGGCAAATAAGCCAGAAATGGCCATCCCAGTCTCCCTTGTCTTTGTCGGTAATACCATTCTGCCTGGTCGGCCTTGTCAGCCAAATCACCCAACCCCGTCTCCGGTTTTCCTGACCCTCCCTCGCCACCGGTGCGTGGGAGAGTGCGGCGGGCGCTGCACAAGTTCGCAAATTCGCTCCCACTACAAAGGAATAAACGCGCGAGCCACCGCCCCGCTCCTACCACGCTGTGGAACATAAGGGGGACACTGTGGTTCACAGAAGTCAGACTAGCATGGGGAAGTAAAACCGCCCTCGACAAAACAGTCTCATCTGCCAAATCTTCGTGCATGTCCCGCGTGGCTGAGACACAAATGCCGCAACCTCGGAGCCCGTAAAAGCGATCTCAATCGGGCTACCACGGAGCAGGCGGGTGCTGCCAAATGGGAGCTTGCTCTGAATGTGGCAGAAATCTCATCGCACAAATTAGAAACCCCATAGACACATCCCCCGAACAAGGTTGTTTTCAACTCCAAGGTGACAATCGCTGGAGCAAATAATTGCTGCGAATGCTGCGCTCAGCACGAAAGCGGGCGATTTCCCTCCGAAGTCTCTCATTCTCCAACACCCATCAGGCGACCGAGACCATTTACGTAAAGTTGTTCCCTGCAACATGTGTTAAAGTGGATTGAGAACGAATTAAATTCCAAGCTTCCTTCAAGCACCTGCTTATCATTGACTCCGTGAGTATACCGAGCGAAATCCTCCCACTACATCTAGGACCGGTGCGTTCAGACGCCGAGTCATACTTTCAAAGACTTGCTGCCAGATCGTCAGGTACCTACACACGAACTAGTTACGGAGATATGCAGTCCTCTGCGTCTTGTCCTCCAAAACAAGGGCTGCGGTCGTGCATACGCTGACACAAACCGGTCATGCGGCGGGCAGACCAACCACCCCAACGTTCTGTCCCTGCCACCCAGTTCGTAACTGAGGCAGTCTACCAGAACGTAAACACGAGACGAGTGATGATTGAACGTCGAAACACCGACGAGGATGCAACTACTCGGCATGTCTAACCCGCGTAGTCCTGAAAGGCTGTTGTTCACTGACAACGCTGGTAACTGGTCCTATGAGAACCACCTTCGATGTGACGAGTAAACACTTAGCCGCAGTGTCCAACGAGTCCCCACTCTTCCTCATCTGCCGACTCCAGACGTGACGAGGGACGCGCCTCGACACTATCGTCAAAATCTACGAGGTGTGGCTGAAAAAAAGGGAGTATTAGCTATAGCTAAGAGTGATGCAGCCCAACGGAAGCATGACTGCCTCACAGCTGCGTGTCGGGCGCATGTAGTCGGTGGCGGTGCCGGCACTTCCGAAGGGTATGCTGGAGACGGAGGTCCGGAAGTCGGTTATGACAGGGCGGCGCGCTCAAGGAGAGCGAATCCGACGCAACCCAGTGCGGTCAGGATTTCCGAACCCAACCTGTCAAGTAGAGCACATAGTAGGTGAGGCCACGGGATCCGCCAACAGTTGCAGTTCGCTAGTAAGACTCACCAGAGGAGACGAATACGATGACTTCGTTCGACCCTGATCGGCTATTCACAACTCCAATCAGACTTAACACAGACAACTTAACATCGGTCCTGACGACAGACAATGTAGACGTTTCTTGACCGCTTGAAGTAGATGGTACGGCTAACAGTGGGCTGTCATGAGCTGTACCGCGAAAACAAGGTGTGAGTAGTTTTCAACCAGCTGTTGACCGCCCATGGTATCACGCGTACACTCCTAACGCTCTGGACAGGAAACCACATAGACAGACTCGCCGGTAAAACCCTGTACAGTCAGACTTAATAGAAGCTGCCGCATCGTAGAATAACATTCCGGGGGAATAATTGAAACCACTAGAATGAGAACAAATGCCAGATGATTCTTACATAAAATAGATGAAACGGGAGGCCCCAGAAACCCAATCTACCTTACAATTGAAGTGAGGCTGAGGTTTGATGATCGGGCCATATATAAGGGGTTTCAAACTCTGCACAGTACAAAAAGTTTACAAAGTCAAGATGACGGGGGTAAATATTTGCAAAAGGAATTGAATCCGTAATCCCTGTTCGCTGAAAAGTGGGCAGAATGAGGGGGAGGGAGGGGGAGAGAGCGGGAAAAGGATGCGTGCTCACAAACTGTTAACAGGGTGGGCAATAGAGAAAAACGAGCATTTCTAGGCCGGCAACTGGGTCGGACAGGCGTGCAGATAAGTGTCTGCTGCCTGCTTCAGCAAGTGTTCGGGAATGTTCAGAGCCTTCTTGTCCTTGTAGTGCATCAGTATGTCCCGATCGCAGGGGCAGCAGACCGTGAAGACAGGTGTCTCGTACATGGACTTGACATACTTCCAAACGTTCACGAATTCCAGTGGTATGTCCCACTGCTTGCAGGCGCGAAGTATGACACGCAAGTGCTGCAACTTCGGCATCAGCATGCAGTCTGCGAAGGTGGGTTCATCACCCAGGAGGTAGCGGGTGCCATGACTCTGCAGGTAGTCCTCCAGCTGTTGCAGGGCCGTCAGCAGAGGCCTCTCAGCGTTGTTACGCACAAAACCGACCATAGTCAGGTAGACGTCAATGAAGGAGCGCAAGGCCGCGCCAACAGCCTCCTCTTCAAACGGCAACTTCATACGATCGTACTGAAACTTGCTCAACAGGGTTTCCAGTTCGTCTGTAGTGGAGGCGGCCAGCTGGAAGTCGGGTAGGAAGGCAGCAGGCAGGCGTTTGGAGGCATGCAGACACTTGTAGTCATCCGGTTCGTAGTCGTAGCTGATGGGAACCACCTCCAACTTGATAAGGTTGGCTTCAACCATGGTTCGGAAGACCATTAGCCATTGCTGACAGATGAGACAGGCACCGATGCGGTCGCGCTCAGACACGGCCGCCCGCACAAACAGCCTCACTTCGGGCAGTTTAGGCAGGCGTGATAACTTCTCTTGGAAATCAGCGGTCTGAAAGAAAACAAAAAGGATGCAAGAGGCATAAAGACGAGAACGAGGACACAGGTGCATCCACAAACATGACTAACAAGACACAAAAAGTGGAGAACACTACAGACTTTTGCTAAAGCTGTCCCGAGTAAGGGATGACACGTGACAGAGGACAAGGGAGAAACCAGATGTCCGCTTCGACGGATACCTGAGATGGCGGAGGTCGTGTCCATACAGTGAGCCAACTCAACCCTTCATCCAGGCCCTCCGGTCAAGCTGAGTCCCTGCATCCCACCATGTCGCGTTACAGTGACATGTCTACACAGTCTCAACCTCATTCATCGTTTTTCACCGTTCGCTATCCTACCGTGATGCAGATTACTGTATAAACCTGGTTAGGAATAGATGAATTGAGTGAAGACTCTTGGTGCAGATCCAGAATGGAGATGGTGTAACCGCATATCGATGCAGACAGCCGGTGCCCTTTCCCTCGCAAGTGCCGACTTCCCCCGCTCTGTACCTCAGCACTTTCCACACTTCTCCCCCTCCCCCGATTTCTCCTACAATGTTGCACTCCCCACTGGTTGTTTAGCTGATCATCTCCCGAATGCAATTCGTCCCTTCTTGAACCATTAACCACTACTCTGTAAAGTAAATTCCCTTCTGTTCCTATTACATATATTTTTGTACCCGCATGTTGCCTGGATTAGTGCAATGACGTGCCTGACAACTCTCTTCTGATCGTTCTAAGCCAAGGGCTATTCCAGGTGGTTTATATCGTCCTGCGTGCGCTATCCTCAAAGTCTTCGGTCGTTATACACGGTCTAGTGACGCAGAGTTTCGAAACCAGCTGGTGGCTGGCGAAGTTCTACTTATATCTACTAGCAGGCTTCTCGCTCGACATACCCCAGCAGTCGGAAGACGGACAATTTCGCCCTTTTGATTACCACATAACTGTCTATAATTAATTTAAAAGGGATGATAATGAAAGGCGGTTTGTGTGGATCTAGACTCTTTAAGGTTACACAACGGGTGCGTTGCTGATTGTCTACCTGATAAACCCCAACTGCTACCTCCCATGCAAGTGGGAAGTGTGCGTCTCGGCTCCTAACCTGCCTGTGTGATCAGAGTCTGAGACGAAGACGGTGTGTCGGGCACCGTGACTCGGAAGGCAGCCGACTGACGCCCAACTCAGTCCACGCAGTCTCCCCAGCTGTGTGTAGTGGTGGATTGGTGAACTGAGAGCCAGGTTGTCACGGCCCCTTCTCGAGCAAGCTGTGACACTCATGCATGAGAGGAGTGTTTGCGTTTGTATGTGTGTTTTATGGGTAGTGCGCCTCTCGGTCGACGGCTGTTTGGTTACCCACCCCTGAAGGGTGACGGCCCAAACTGAGTGCAGGGCCAGGAGCCGCCCGTCTAGGTCAAAAGGTATGAAAGCGTGCGCTATGTCAGTATCATCACACCATGGCCCTCGCAGCCTGGTATGTGCTGGCAGTTCCCTGGCACCTGGTTCCCTGCCGGTAGATGCGCTTGGGCTCCCGCTGGGTATACAGGTGGTGGGCATGGCTGCCCAGTCATTATCCTCGTCCTTCTGATCCTTGTTGGAGTGTTGTTGCTGGTGAAAAATCCTGGTCAAGTGTATGCTGTGGACCAGGGGGTGTGGTGGTCCGCCTAGGTGCGGATTCGGTCGTGCAAGCCACCTGCGCCCCACACTCCCGGTCCAGATGCACAGTGGAGAAGGGAGAATGAGGTAGATGCCGCGCAAGTCTACTATTACTACAAACTAATTCGCGCGCAGGTCACCGTGCCTGCTACACCTTGCTGTGTAGCACACGGTGGACATCGTCGAAATCAACGGTCGAGCTGTCACCTGATAAACATTTTCGCTTGGCGGCGTGACTCCCAATTAGCGTAATTTAGTGCATTGGATTCAAAATATAGCTGGACGCGTGCAGGAGGCGCCTTAACAGTCTTTCTAACAACATTGCCTTCGACGATTGATTAATTTCCACCTTCATTATAGTTATTGGTGACTTCCCGAACGGCAATTACGTGTTTAAAGTTCACATGATCTTTCCTTTTGATGGGATTTTCCTGGAGGACGAAATTCCTCACCCAACGACCGCAAGAAATACACTTTTGTGCACCTCTTCCTTTTTAAATATAAGCTACACGGTTAAGGAAGTACATACTGCCTAAATAACAATATTTCCCGATAGGCTTTGTATGAGCGGTAATAAATATGCTAGCCTAAAAGATGAGGTGACACTAAATAGGAAGCAAGCTTCTGATTATGCCCAATGTGAATTACCATTACAGTCGTATGCGAGCGAGGTTTTCCGTTGGAAAGCAGATTAAGACATCTATTGGCGTTTCATGGAACCACTCAGCGAAACTGCGTCCCAGCCCCCCAAACAATCCAGAAATCCTCGGGGCTATGTACATTTAAAAATCAAACTGTTTTGCAGGAGTTTTCGAGTGGTAGTTTGGTGTCAGTCAGATGAATCCCAGAATCCATTGTCACGAAAGTAGTTTGAAGAGCGCGCTTCTGCAATGCGCATAATGACATCAATGAAGTTGGAAGAAATGTGTGGACTCTACACGACCGCTGGCTAAAAGCAGAATGCACTGAAAACCTTGGCCATGTTGTCGGCTTGGGAGTCATGCCCATTCTGGATCCAGACAAGTCACGAACCGGGCGGCTCACTACAGCGCGTAGTCGTAGGATAGAATATCAACCTTCCTTAACGGGTTTTCAGTCGATAACTTAACAGAGACCCGGAGAGGGAAAGTAATATGCTTAAAAGTGGAAGGCCCGAAAATAATCAATTGTGACAGACCAATTGACGAGGAGACTCGGTCGATGGCGTAAGAAATCTACTCACCTGGTGTTTCGGATTTTCCGAATATCAGAGACGGCAGCAGGTAAGTGGTGGAACGTCATTACTGAAGCTGATGACAGTGTCCACCTGTTCGTTCCCTGCATAACTACTTACTCCACTCAAGTGATCGCAGTGTGGAAAATGAGGAGGGGAACCATTGGTGGACTGCATTCCGGATAAACGTGATTCAATTAATATGCAACTTTCGCGACGGACAGCTTTAGGGTGAGTTTCGGCCACGGCAAATTTGAAAGTGTGGTCAAGTATTGTCGTGTGAGCCTCGACCTGAGAATACAAGTCCTTCCTTCTGACTGTGTGTTGGACAACCCGTGTCCAAGGTAGTCTCCCAGATATTCTGCCCGAAACCTTTCTCTATCTGGCAAAGGAATCGAGAGGTTCCTTTTGGTGGCAGAGGGCCTTTCGGTCTCATCGAATGGCGCAGGATGGCTACCTCCGGTCCGTGTGAAACTCAAACTTCGAGTGACGCTAGAAGACAGTTGGCGACACCCGAGACGCTCATGAGGCATGGGAGCGTCTGCCAAAACATGAGCGCCTACAAAATGAAGGAATAGCCTGTTCCATCACTGGAGTCCAATTTCGACAGTTCGACCGTCGCACCCGACGATGTCTACCGTGTGCTTCACAGTGAGGTGAGAGTACGCACGGTGACTCGTGCGTGAGTTAGTTTATGGTGGGAGTAGACTTGCACAGCATCTACTGCACTCCTCCTTCCCCACCTCGGCCCGGTGTCAAGACAAAGTCAAGAAGACCGGAGGCGGGGAGGGCGCAGACGGATGGCACGGCCGAACCTACATCTTGGCGTTCCACTCCACGCCCCCTGATGCACACAGCAAATGACCAGGATATTAACCATCGACAAAAGTGGGGGGAGGGGATGGCAGGGGTCCCAATGTGCGCCACGTCTGTTGGCAACTGGGTCTGCCACTGCATCCCGATGGGTTGTACGACTCGAAAACATAAAAGGTTAAAGCAGGAGCGCTGCTGATTATCTCTGTGAAGTCATGGCAATATACTGTACTTAGAGATGAAAGGGCGGAGGTGCAGATCCCTGGGGATTGGGGTCCGCCCAAAAAGGGCGTCGGAGAACTTGCTGAACACCCACAGAAAATAATTTCTGGGACTTTGGATGATTGTGGATGGTTAGCTGACCTTCGACTCAATTTTAGTTACCTGACAGTTTGGCACAGGAGGGCCATTCTAGGAGTCTTTTCCCCTCTACACCATACCGACGGCTGCTAAAGTTGCCAGGGCGGATTTGTGGAGTGGTTACCTACATTCACCGACCTTATCCCACTCGAATCCCAAAACTGTGGAACTGCTGAAGTGGACAATCGTCCGAGACAAGTGTGATTACTGCAGGCACTGGACTTCGTGCCCTCTAACCGTGTTTGAAAGGTGTTGAATTTAGGACGGAACTATGAAAATGTCCATAATTTACAGAAGTGAATTTTTCATACGCACTTTAAGACTCCAACTTCTCATTTTGTGGCTTAGAGGGATGAATTCTGTTGCGTAGCACTTTAGCTATGGCAAGAACAGCTGGAATGGGACGCTGCTGATAGGACTCGGATCATCTGTGTTGTAGGTGTCCTAGCGTCTGGAAGTCAGTTGTGCGCTTGAGTTATACCCGCAGTAGGTCTATTAATTGCTGCACCGAAGATAGGACCACAGACCTTCGGATGTGAGACCAAGTGTGCTAAACACTACACTATATGCCTCAGGAATTAGCAGTAATTATAATCTGTAAAATTTAACAAATTATTAATTCCAACAATTGTCCGTGTCTAAATTTCCGACTAAAACGTTTGGACGATCGGTAGGTAGACATTCCAACTACTGTCGATTAAGCTCAGGTAATTATGTTGCGCTGGTTCATAGTTCATAATATTTCGCTCCTTTAGCTGTTATCGCCTATGCGTTGTTTTCGTTCCCATCGAATGAGACTAGTCCGTTTAAGAAAGACACGGGCAACTGCATGGGTGCACGGGGTTGGTATTAAAAGCTGCCTGATCAATCTACGTTGTGCAATGCAGCGTCCCAGTTCATTATGGTCGGCAACTTGGCTAATGAACAGGCAATTGATGAGAAGGCGGAGGCGCAGACATGTATACGACCGTTTGGTACGCGTAGTTAGGACACGGTACAAAGATCTGATCTCCGTGTTCTTTAAAAAAAAATTACTAGAAAATCAACAATTGTCACCCCTAGGGCACACTTCTATCACAAAAGTTATTACATGGGAATGATCATGCAAATGTCTTGGCGGGCATACTGATGACGAATGAACATGGTTACCGCCGGTTACATTCGTGCGACAGCATAGGCGTGGAAGAGTAGATCAGTTACTGACGTAGCCCATTACGCAACGCATCGCCAAAAGGACTACAAATCGATATACTGTTGCTGTGTGGGTCGTGGATGAAACATGACAAAAACAAATCCCACATCTTATTATCAGTGTGCATAACTATGCACGGGCCCAAGGTGTGGGTTAATAGGACATAAAATATAGATCCGATCCCTCTTCCGGTTTTTGTCTATTTTAAAGTATATTAACCAAAAGCATGGCGAGTCGCAGTCTAGTAGGGGATGCAATTTTTGGCCAACAGTGTGTGCGACGGTGGCTTTCGAAAGAGGTAGCAGTTAAAGCGGTCGATACAATAAAAAATCAGACGCAACAATAAGGGACACGTTGCTCTTCAGGATTATGCATGCAAACGTGCTACAATTTCCAAAATGTTCAGTGAAAACTTACGGTAATCGACGTCTGCGCGGACGGAAGCGGCATCGGTCGGGCGGAGACTCAAATGAAATAGTATTCTGGCGCGTTTGCAATTCCCAAGGTCATACTAAACACTGGTCAGACGTTCAGTGTCACTTAGTTCTCAAAGTCTAGCATCCAGACGTCACTGCTATCCAAACATAACAGACTTATTAATACTATAAGATGTGTCCATAAGCGAATTAAGAAATATAATAGATACTTAAACACTCCAAAAAGCGGCATATGCGACTTGATAACCATAAAACCAGTGACCTATGTGAGTCGATGTCAACACTCACTCGATGCTGTGATTTCGTCACATTGTTGCTAATTTTTTCGATTTTCATGTACAGCAAGGGTGTTCAAAGGCGCAAGCATACTTCGCTTAAATACATTGTCTGGCTGACTGACTGGAGCGCCTCGCGGAAACATATGACTGGAGGAGTGATCGGTTCCTAGGATCGTTTTCCTGATAAAAACTCAATACTGCAACCAAGAAGAGTCGAAGGACTTGTATATCTGTATAAATTGTTGGCCTTTCTCTATTGCTTTTTGCATACCCAAGCTTTGCCATACTGTTGTTTGAGCATGCTATAATTCACACAACAATATGTTTCTGCTTGCTACAGCGCGTGTTTTGTGTTCGCATGTTGCACAGTGTCATTGCTTCATTGACTAAGCGCATTTGGCTCGATCCTCCTTAATTAATTGCTACAATCAGTCTTTATTCGTCGGTCGCATCTTGCGCATCTAACCGTGTAATAAGCCATACTAACCGACTTTGGCTCGGAACCTACTAGACGTTACCCAGACCATTATTCGCGCTTTATCAACTGATACTGGAGAGAAATCATTTTTTTGTGATTCTATATGGCAAGGAGCCTTTTGCCTCCTTTCTCCTACTTTCACTCTGTCGCTTTTTTGTAAGAAGCGCAACGTCTCCCATTTAAAGTTAAGTTTTTCCTATATCAATTGTATGTATGTATGTATGTATATTGAAGGGTTACAGGCAGAGCCCTTGATGACCCTATTTATGTACAGTGCTTTCGCAGATTCATACTGAAAACTAAAATACAATTGCAGGCATTTAAAATGTGATTGTATCAAAGTTCAATCGTAATCATAAGATAGTGCATGGGGTCACTGTAAATTGGTGCGGAAGATTGTATATGACAGATTTTACAAAACTGGCTGAGCATAGTCATGCTGTACAAGCCGATTTCTGTCGGAAACTAGACGAGCAAGTTTTCTTTTAAACACACAAACTGTGTCAGCCGTCACCATCTCGCTTGGAAGCGAGTTCCACGGCCTGACAACCCGCTGGCTGAAAGAAAATTTTCGTCGGTCTAAACGTGTTCGCTCATTCCCGACTTTGAATGCATGGCCGCGTAGTTGGTTTGTACGGGCGAACTCAAAGAAGTCCTCTGCCCTTAATGAGCAACCCTGGCCGCGAACAATCCGGAACGTCCAGAGTAGACTGCAGTTCATTTGTCTATAAGAGAGAGGGAATAGGCCAAGCAAATTTAGCCTCTCCTGATAAGACAAATGCTTTAGACCGTCGACCATCTTTGTCGCTCTGCGTTGCACCTGTTCGAGTAAGTTGATATCCTTCCTCATCCATGGTGAAGCTGCTGGCATTCCATACTCTAGATGAGGTCTTACAAAGACACCAAAGAGTCTTTCGAAGAGTTCAGGAGGAAATATTTTAAATGCACGTCTGATCCAGTGTAGAGTACTAGTTGCCTTCTGGACCATCTTTCTGCAGTGTTCTGATGGCGATAGATTTGTGGTCGTCCATACACCCAGATCTCTGTGTCTTTCCACAGTTTCTAACCTCGTCCCGTCAATATAGTACTGGTGTTTGGGAGAGGCATTGCGGCCGGTGTTCAGGTGCAAAACCACGCATTTGGACACGTTAAACTTCAAAAGCCATCTGTTCGACCAAGCACACAGTTTGTTGATGTTCGACTGCAACTTCTCTGCGTCATCATCACACTTGACTTCACTCCATATTTTTATGTCATCCGCGAACATGAGAGCCTCGCAATTCACTTCGCTGATACAGTCATTAACATAAATCAGGAAGAGTACTGGGCCTAAGACAGAACCCTGTGGGACACCACTTTCCACCTTTACGCATTCCGAGGTAGAATTACTAACGACGACTCTTTGTAGTCTGGAGGACAGAAAACTCCTGATCCATTTAAACATTCTCCCTTGAATCCCTACATCCCAGATCTTTTGCAAAAGAAGCCTGTGTGGGACACTGTCAAAGGCCTTCTTGAAGTCAAAAATATGACATCTACTGGAAAACCCTTATCGGTAGCTCGTGTCCATTTCTCGTGCGAGTAAAGAACACTCGTTAAGCAGGAGCGCCCTGGACGAAAGCCGTGTTGGGCATCGCACAATATTTTGTTCTGTTCCAGGTATTTCATCAAGTGTCTTTTGATAATGCATTCCATTATTTTACACGCGATGCAAGTAAGACTGACAGGACGATAATTTCCGCAGTCAATTGTTCCTTTGTAGTTTTAATTGCTGTTCACACTACAGACTTGTAGGTCGTTTTTTGAATAAACCAGTCCAGGATCGGACTCAAACAACTTCGTCCATCTTAGCCATTATCCTACGCATTATGTCAAAGTCTAGACCGTTCCAGCTAACTGGCGGCCAGCATCATTTATTAATCTACTTAGTTGTGTGCAGGTTACTGTTTCATCAACCACATTAGCACAATGCGCAAAGTCACGGAGAAAGTGAAGCATAACCAGTTGTGCGGCGTCCTACTTTGCTAGAGGTTAAAAAGCCCCAGTTTGCGTGGCTGCCAGAGGTGGTCCTGCAGCAATAAATCCACACTTCATGCCTGATTTAAGTGAAATCTACTACTTTGTAAAATCTTTAAAACGCGGTAATCGTTCAAAAGGTGTTCCTTACTTTAACAAGACCGACTGATTTGGCCATAAAGCTTGGCTTACCCTTGAGCCTCAATCGACCTCACTGGTACTGAATAGTGATTTAGTTCAAAAAACAGAATGAAATCATTTTCTCTTTCCCCGCCAGGCTAATCAAGTCTGACCTAGGAGTACAGTCGAAGGAGCCAGATGTTGCTCTACGTAAATCCTTGACTGGTGATAACTCGAATTCTCAAATTAAGGGAGATGTCACACCATCACCTAAAATAATAATAATAATAATGTATTCTAGGGTAATAGTCAATGCCTTGGGTGACCCTATCGAAAACGGCACATACAGTATAAATGTTAAATGCACACCTTACTAACATTTTGTCAGTAATATATCCCATTACTGTTATGAGAAGTGATGACGGCTTGGAGATATCGGACAGTACAAATAAGGCTGAACACTTTTCTCAATTTTTCCGACCCGTTTTCACAAGAGAAGCAGACTTTACCCCATCTAATTCTGAGAACATGAGAGATCCCACTATCGAAAATATTGTGTTTCGAGAAGAAGCGATTTTGGAAGAACTGAAAAGCTTGAAGGAATGTAAATCTCCCGGTCCGGACGAGATCCCAGCAAAGCTGCTCTTTGAACTTGCCCAACAGCTGGCCAAGCCATTATCCTTTCTGTGCCAGAAATCGTTTGATGTTGGAATTCTTCCAACAGACTGGAAGACGGCCCACATTACACCCCTTTACAAAAGCGGTAGTCGTGCCCTGGCGACAAACTACAGACCCGTCAGTCTGACATCAGTCTGCTGCAAAGTGATGGAGAAAACCATCAAAAAGGAGTCGATGGCTTACTTGGAAACCCACAACCTCTTGTCCAATACACAATATGGTTTCCGTAGGGGAAGATCATGTGTTACGAACTTGTTATACACAATGCAAAGTTGGACACGAGCACTGGACGCAAAACACACCGTGCATGTTGCCTTTATTGATTTTCGGAAGGCGTTTGACAGTGTTCGGCACCAGCGTCTCCTACACAAGTTGAGAATTATGGGCATCGGTGTCAAACTTCTCAAATGGATCGAAAATTTCCTTGTCGGCCGCTCCCAAATTGTCTGCGTAGAACAACAGCGATCAAGGTGCACATTCATAGACAGTGGGGTCCCACAAGGCTCGGTGCTCGGACCAACTCTCTTTCTCTTGTTCATCAATGATTGCGTAGATGGGTTGGACTGTGATTGTGCCATGTTTGCGGACGACATAAAAATCTGGAAAGTCATCCAGAATGCTGCCGATGAGACCAACTTCCAAGAAAATCTTTGTCGATTGGACGAGTGGTCCCGCAGATGGCTCATGTCCTTCAATTTGAACAAATGCACCATTCTGCGCCTCGGAAATCAGAGCCCTAGTACGCGGCAATACCATCTGAACGGAATGCCACTCCGAGAAGCAGAAACTCAGAAAGATCTCGGAGTTTGGGTTGCAGACAGCCTAAAGCCTTCTACACAATGCTGTAAGGCGGCCAAGGCCGCAACGTCAATGCTATATGCCATCAAGCGGGCATTCGTAGTTTTCGATGAAGACTGCTTCACCAAAGTCTTCGGCACGCTTATAAAGCCCCATCTCGAATATGCAATTCAGGCCTGGAGACCGTGGACGCATCAGGATTACGATTTGCTCGAAAGGGTGCAAAGGCGAGCCACAAACTTAGTAAGGGGTCAAAGTGCACTGCCATACGAGATCCGCTTACCTAACCTTAATCTCTATCCTCTGAGTTATAGGCAGTTGCGCGGAGACATGATACAAATTTTCCGTATCGTGCGCGGCTTGGATTGTGCCCTTCGGCGCGATGAATTTTTCCAACTCGCCACTACAACTCACCTCCGGGGACATCCCTTCAAGCTACGTGTGCTACAGGGTAGACTGAATGTGAGAAAATATTTCTTCTCCAACCGTGTCGTGGAACCATGGAATAACCTGCCTGAGACGGTTGTTATGTCTCAATCTGTGGAGGCATTTAAATGTCGCCTTGACAGCGATATGCTGCAGCAACAAGCGGACTATGTGACTCTTTAGCCATGTGACCAGTGACATATGTGAATCAATGTATGC